CTCCTTCTGACTGCCAGTGTAAGGGAACACTTCCCCAGCATCCACCACCAACCATGAGCACTACAATGAATTCCAACATAAAGGAATTATTCTTCAATGTCTGCCAGTATAAGGGGACAATTCTTGAATGATTGCCAGTGTAAAGTGTAGAGATTCTTCACTGACCACCAATTAAAGGATATATGTATTTACTGACCATCTATATAAGGAAACATACTTCCCACTAACCTATAATGTAATGAGCGACTTCTTCAATGACCACCAATGCAGGGAGAACCTATCCAATAACCATAGATATAAATGGGCACTACATTGACTACAGTGTACAGGGGATGGTAAAAGATATGTAGCAGATAACTATATAAGGAAAATGCACCTCATTGCTTTTAATACCTATTGGCAGAGGTCCACTGTGCCTAATGGTAAATCCAGCTCTTCATTTGGTCTAAGAATACAGTAGGTTACAGACTGACAGATCAAAAATGTTAATTAAATTGTAAATGGAAAATATCAATCTAAATGGTATGGTGTCTCTCATTCATATCATTCATCAACTTTTGCAGTTTTTATTTATCTATCATAGCTATTATCAAATACAAAAAAAAGGCATGTGTATGTTACAGCTTTGCTGGCCTTTTATATGCATAACATTACAGTTAAAGCAAGTTCATATATTAAAGCTCCCGTGTTTTATCACCATTGTGATCCTTAATTATTATAATTTATTTGACAGGCATTTTTTTTAAAACAGAAAAGGAAGCTAAATCCCTGAGGATACAATGAAAAGGGAAATCAGTAACAAAGGTTACTCTGATAATCTTTTGTCAAGGCAGCCTGTAAAGTCAGTTAATAAAATATGATTTTGCAATTCCATTAGTACTATTAATAATATTTACTACTATACACATAAGACAGACTCCTAGTTATCTTAAGTTCTCTTAGAGTGAACTATTCCAACAATCAACATCTGGGGATCACATGTCGCTGAGTCAGTTATACTTCATCTACATTTACATTACATGAGGTCACTGTAGCAAGCTCTTTCCTACAAATTATTTAAATAGCCCCTTTATCATTAACCTATGTATGGATTCTTTTCATACGATTACTGCCGGTTGCTATGTCTGCTAGCAGTAATCATTGTGTTCTGCCAGCAGGGAGAGCTCCCCTCCAGCAGAACACAATAGCAGTGCTGGAGAGATTCCCCCATCAACACTGACTGTGATGATAGGAGAATCAAGCAATTTTCTTTCCTTAAACCAGTGCTTGCAGGAAAGAAAATCACGTCACCTATGGTATGCTGTAGACCACATGTGTCCGGCCCTCCAGACCATTTCATGTGGCCCTCAGACCTCCCCTGCAGCTGTGGCACCCTTCTCGTCTCCACCTTGTCTCAGTAGTTGGCAGAAGGGAGAAGGACAGAATTCCTCCACCAAATCCTGCACTTCTCCATGCACCCTAGAGAGGCTCATCTCTGCAACCCCCACCCCTGGTCTCAGCAGTTGGCAGCAGAGAGGAGGACAGAGCTACAACTACAGACCCTGCACTTCTATGTACAGCCATAGCACCCTCTCATCTCTAAAGCCTCTTGTTTGCGTTCAGCAGATTCAAGTTCTCTGGTCCTCCTCCAGACCCTGCACCTTCTGCTTCCCAGCAACTCCTCCAACTTAGTCCCAGCAATGGCAGGTAACGGGGGTGTATTGTGATGTAGGGGAGGGTGGGGTGTTCAGAACATCTAGTCTTACAGGTACATCTAGTCTTACAGGTACAACTGGCCCTTTCAGGGCAACCATATTGCTGATGTGGTCCGCCATGAAATTGAGTTTGACACTGCCTTAGACTTTCCAACTTCCTCCTCTCACATTATTCTGTATATGTTAAAAATAACATATTCCGCACAGTATAAACCAACAGGCCCATAGCTAGGGTTGAGTAAGTCTGCCTTGGTTTGAGAGGCAATAGCCACAAGTATTGCACAGTGGCTGGACAAGCAGCTTGGTTAAGCCTCAATATAAGAGGGAAAGACAAGACAGGTTTGATATTAAAATAAACATTACAGTGTATTATCTGAGAGACAATAGCTACAACATATTTTGTGCACTGAAGCAAGGGGAATGGTCTTTCATTTTGTGTTTGACATTGTGTTTGACCCTTGTTGCTAACCCTGACTTGCTTTTGTTCCAAAATTTTGCTAATCGACCTGGTACTACACTAACTGCACATTTCTAACATCTGCTTGTTCCTTGAATCCTGACTTTGATCCTGCCTACAATCCGGTGCTTTGCTTTTCACCTGTTACTGACCCTGGCTTGTGACCTGACTCCCCTCATATCTGAACTTGATGTAACCTCAGTGCCTTACTAGCAGTTGTCCTGCACATCTGATAAAAAGACTGTCTGATGTTATCCCTATGCTACTTAAAATAAATACTGTATATCACCTAACCCAAAAAAGTAAATCAGCAAATAAAAAAATTGAACATTGGTACAGTAATACACAGCAATGTTATTCTTGCAAAATGTTCTGTTTTTTTTTTAGGAACACCCTGAATTCAAAGTCTCAATTGCTTTTAATTGTTAAGGTCAAACTTTCCCTGACTTTCTGACTGCATATTTTCATAATTGTCTATCTATTGTTGACAATATTAGATTTCAACACTCAACTATTGTGTGTAAGAGAAGCATACAGAAAACTATAAACTGTTTTGGAAGCAGGTAAAACATGAAGTTTCAACCCTACATCAAACTAACTGGAACACTGTGGCTGACTCATATTTAGAACAAACATGAGGTTTCATGTACTTACCTTTGTGATCATTGCCAGCACATAGCAGGCACTTCCAGGTGCTTGGACATCAAAAGTTTTGTCAGCATCCCATATTGCTTGGGTGCTCTTCCTAGGTTGATAACTCACAAATCCCTTCTAAGGCTTATAGATTAGCAAGGTTTAGATTGATAGGTGCCTTCTGGCCTATCAACCCTGTACATAAGTGTGTTTCTTTTTTTTATTATTATTTTATTTTTATTAGTTACATCTTACATAACCCAGTAACACTTTAATACATAATCAACTACACTTTTTACACATTTTAAAAACAAAAAAAAAACAAAAAAAAACAAACATATCCCCTCCCATCCCTCCCCCCATCCTTAACTTCCCTTTTCTTTTTTATAGGTCCTTCTTATTCCTCTGGTATTCTACCTTCAGACCTTCGTTTCTCCTCTAGCTTTATTATTTCCTCTTATCACTATCTCTCTCCCTCTTCTCATTTCTCTTTATTCTTCTACTCCATCAGCTCCACGAACCTCTGTGTAGTTTTAAAATTGTACCATCTTTACCAGATTTTTATGAATTTACCCATTTTATCTTCTCCACTATAGTAAAGTTCTTCCTTTCTATATATATATTGTACTCTTTTTATCCAGTCCTTCAATTTAGGGATCAACCCTTTTGCCGCATTAATTAGATGAGGTGTCATCGTATTCTTATACTGTTTCACTGTTAGATCAGTGTTATGGAATAGGCACACCCATGGATCTCTCACTATACCCTCTCCTATAATCTCCACTATTTGTTGAACTACTTCCGGCCTAAATTTTTGTACTTTGGAACATTCCCATCATATATGTACCATTGTGCCCTACTTCCCACATCCCCTCCAGAATAGCGATGAGTTCTCTGAGTGTAACTTATGGGCTCTACTGGGTGTAACATACCATCTTGCTATAAATTTATAATTCATCTCTACTGTGTCTATATCAACTACCCTGACTATAATTCTAAATATTTTCTTTCTCTGCTGCTCACTCAACTGTGTTTTCAACTCTTTTTCCCATTTGCCCATATACAATGGCACAACTGGTTCAGCAATTATAGAAAGTGTCTTAATAATACGCGAAGTGCAATGTTTTTCAGTTCCCTTTAAATTCAATAATTGCTCCATAGGGTACAAAATTTCAACCCCTCTTAATGGCTGTCTTAAACCCGCATTCATCTATCACCTGAAACGTATCTCTTGTTTTGTTTAAACTCCTGTAAAGTGTTTAACTCCCCTTTTTTCATGATGTCAATTAACCGTGCATTCCTATCTTTAATCCAGTTACCGGCAATAGTGCTCTTCCCAGGTGGGAAAACATTTGTTCCCACCAATGGTATTAATGGTGAATTATCCAATCCATTTTGTTTGTGAATTAAGTCCCATACCCTAAATACAGTTTTTGTTAAAGTACTAGAATGTTCAGAAAACATACGAATAATTTTATCTAATTGTGCATCACTCAGTGTTTGTTCAATCCCTACCCAACTTTTCCTCTGTGGATTATACACCCATTCCATTATTCGTGATATAATTACCACACAGTAATATGTTTTGATCTCTGGCATATTTAGGCCCCCATTTATTTTATCCTTACACGAGACCTCATATTTCACCCTTGGTTTTCTATTTGCCCTTATATATGTCATTATCATCCCTTTTAATGCCCTAAAATACGCACGCGGCAAATATATTGGAAGCATGTGAAAATTATAAAAAGATTTTAGGTAGTATAACCATCTTAACCATATTAATTCGTCCTATCGAGGAAAGTGATCCTTTTAAGATTTTCATCTACTCATCTTTTATTTCATTTAACCACCTTCCGCCCACCCTATAGTACAATGACGGGCGCAAGGTGGTTCTCTCGTTCTGATAGGACGTCATATGACGTCCTTCCATTCTCACTGCGCATGCGCGTCTCAGGGAGCGCGCAACGTGGCGTTCGCCAGTGCGCTGGGTCCCTTGGACACAGCAGATCACGGATCACGGAAAGAGCCGAAGATGTCGGCTCGGTCATGTGATCAGCTGTGTCCAATCACAGCTGATCACATGTAAACATGGAAATGCTGGTTATCGGCATTTCTCTCCTCTCAAGCTGTCACGCTGACAGCTCGAGAGGAGAGCCGGTAATAGGCTTTCCGCGGAGGGAACATGAACACTGATCATCAGAGCACTGATGTTCAGTGTGGCCCCAGAAGTGCCACCTGTCAGTGTCCATCAGTGCCAGCAGTCAGTGCTCATCAGTGCCACATGCCAGTGCCCATCAGTGCCACATCAATGCCACATATCAGTGCCTACCAGTACACATCAATGCCACATATCAGTGCCCATCTGAACTGCCATTCAATGTCACCCATCAGTGCCAGTCTGACACCTATTAATGCCAATCAGTGTCACCTATCAGAGCTGCCAATCAGTGCCACCTATAAGTTCCAGTCAGTGTTGCCTATCAGTGCCAGTCAGTGCCGCCTATCAGTGCCAGTCAGTGCTGCTTAGCAGTGCCAGTCAGTGCCGCCTATTAGTGTCAGTCAGTGCTGCCTATCAGTGCCACCTATCAGTGCCATTTATTAGTGTCATGTATCAGTGCTGCCTTTCAGTGCCCATCAATGATGCCTGTCAATGCTCATCAGTGCAACCTACCAGTGCCTCCTCATCAGTGCCACCTATCAATGTCCATCAGTGCAGCCTATCAGTGCCCATCACTGCAGCCTCATTAGCGCAAATCAGTGAAGGAGAAAAATCACTTCTTTACAAAATTGTATAACAAAAACTAAGAAAAAACTTTTTTTTTCAAAATTTTCAGTGGTTTTGGTTTGTTTAAGAAAAAATAAAAACTCCCAGAGGTGATTAAATACCACCAAAAGAAAGCTCTATCTGTCTAAAAAAAGATAAAAATTTAATATTGGTACAGTGTTGTATGACCGCGCAATTGTCATTCAAAGTGTGACAGTGCTGAAAGCTGGAAATTGGCCTGGGCAGGAGGGGGGTATAAGTGCCCTGTAGGCAAGTGGTTAATAATGGTATATAGTTCCCTTGGTATATACTCTTAAGTGACGTGGTTAACTTTACTCCTAAGTTCTTTATCCTTCCTCCTAAAATAATTTTTTTCTTGTAATGCCTGTCTTTCTACTTTCGGTATATTAATATCTAAAAGCTCAGATTTTGAAAGATTCATTTTAAAGTTTGATAGATTTCCGTAATACTTTAATGTTCACATTAGGTTTGGCAAAGTTACTCTGGGGTTTTTAATATAGAATAACATATCATCTGCATACGCTGCTACTTTATGTTCCGCTTCTCCTATCCGAATTCCTTTTATGTCTACACTTTTCCATATAGTTGCTAATAAGGGTTCCAAGGATAAAACAAACAAAAGAGGTGAAAATTGGCATCCCTGCCTAGTTCCATTGTACATTTCAAAAGGTTGAGAGAATAAACCATTGATATTTACCACTGCTGTAGGATGACTATATAGAGATTTTATCCACTGGACCATTTTTGGTCCCAATCCTAGCACCTCTAAGGTACTTATCATAAATCCCCAATCTACCCTGTCGAACACTTTTCAGCGTCTATCGACAAGAATAGCACTGGGGACTTCTCCTTCTTGCTCTTTTGTAGAAGGTGTAGTGATCTCAGGCCATTGTCTCTACCTTCTCTTCCTGGTATAAACCCCACCTGATCTAGATGTATCCACTCTGGCATAATGTCCTTCATCCTACTGGTGATAACTTTTGCATATAATTTCGTGTCTATGTTTAGTAATGAAATTGGTCCGTAGCTGGCACATTGAGACAAATCTTTGCCTTCTTTAGGTATAATTGTAATATGTGCCAGCAATGACACCTTCCTTATTTGCACTTCTTTTCCTAATGCATTTTTATACATTCACCTTTTCGGCACTAGTTGTTCTCTAAATTTCCTATAGTATCTCACCGTATATCCCTCTGGCCCTGGGCTCTTCCCTGCTGCTGTACTCCTTAGTGCAACTTGTATTTCTTCTTGTGAGATTGGTCTTTCTAATATTGCCAATCTTTCTTCTTCTATTCTAGGTAGTCCAACCGCTTTTAAATATATCTGGGTTTTTATTCTCCTATCTTCTTCTTCAGTTCTTTTTGGTTCTTGGATTTAACTGTGTATAAGGAACTATAATATTTTTGAAATACACTAGCAATTATTTTAGTTGGATTACCTAATTCTCCAGTTTTATTTCTAATTTTCTCTATAAAATTTACTGAATTCCTTTTTTTGACCATCCTTGCTAAATATTTTCCTGGTATTTTTCCCATTGATATCTTTCTCTGAACAGCATATTAAAGACCCTATTTGTTTCCTGTTCCATTAAGTTACTTAGTTCTTCTCTCTAAGATTATCTTATGTTGTACTTTAATTTCTGTTCTCTTTTTATGTGATTGTTCTAAAACATACATATTTTTATCCTTTCCAATCTTTTTTTCCGCCCCTATGGCAATCAAAATACCCCTTATGTGCTTCCCATTCTGTGGCCACTGAGACTCACTCCGTTTCATTTGACAAAATATATTGTTCTATTTCTTTTTTTATTCTGGCTTCTGTCTCCTGGTCCTCAACCTTATTGTGACAGGTGCATGATCCGATAGTGATGTAACTTCATCCATGTATTGGATTTAGTCAATGACTCCAATAATCTATGTTCTATCATTATATACTACAGTCTAGAATATGTCACATGTACAGGGGAATAAAATGTATAGTTTCTTATGCCTAGATGTTTAATCCTCCACGCGTCTACCAGTTGACATTAGTGCAATTTCTTTTTAATAGATCTTAGACATTTACCTCTATCCCTCCTTACATGCAATGAAGTATCAAATTGGCGATTCAGGCAAAAATTAAAATCCCCTGCCACAGTCAGTTTCCCTCTCTTGAAATCCATTAGTTCCCTTAAGGTATCCTCTAAATAAGCCATTGGGTTCTTATTTGGGCAGTAAATATTTACAAGTATACATTCTATTTCATACAATTTCCCCCTCTAGAACAAAAAATGACCTTCTGGGTCCACACACCTATCTTCTATAGTAAATCTTACATTCTTTTCCAGCCTTATGGCTACCCCTTTTGCCCAAATTATTAGGGAATCAGCATAACACCAAACCGGATAATTTCTTGATTTGTAACATAATTCTTGAATACTGAGATAAATGTGTTTTCGTGTAGAAATACTACATCTATTGAGCATTGATATATTTCCCTCATAATCTTATGTCTTTTTACCAGAGTATTAAATCCTTTAACATTATAGCTCCCAAAATTAACTACATTCCTATCCACCAGCTCTTATTTTTTTCTCTTTTCCCATCTTTTCTCCTTCCATTAAATCCTCATAGAGAGAGATCTTAATATAATTAACTTGAAAAACCAGAGGACTCCAAGGTGGTCCGTTCTTCTCTACCTTCCCATCCCCAAACCCCCCACCTTCTATGCCTTCCCCACAACCCCCATACACCTCCCCCCTTCATCCCCTTCCCCTTAAAAACCCGTGGCCTATTCCAAGCCCTTGAAGCTGGTGTGGTTCAGGTCCCACCTTTGATCCCTCAGTTTGGGGTGAGACTCTGTCCATGCACGTCTCCCCCCACCCCATCCCACTCTTTAAGGGGTGTAGGTTCAGGAACAAAATGCCTCCTTCTTTCCTGCCTTCATTATACCTTACACTCCATACCTCCATCAAAAATCTCTCTCCCCCCCCGCCCATCTACCACCCATGTCCCCCCCACCATACATCACATGGCTGGGGAGGAAAGCAGGTGGAGGTAAGCAGGGTGGCGAGGAAGAGAGAGAGAAGAAAGAAAACAAAAACACATCCTAGAATCAGCTCTCAACTTAACTCTTACTAATCCACCTATTAATTAGTTCTTATCTATAAGAGACTCTTCCAAGTATTATCTTCTTCCACTCCTTATATCTCGATTGCGGTTTCTTCTTTTAGAGTTTGGTTGCCATCTTTCTCCTTCCAGCTCTGTTTTCTCTTTGTTCACATCAGTCCATCATGGTATAATTATGGAATTACTATATGATGCTTCAGGTAAAGTTTATATGCAGTATAAACACAATTACTTGATACAGTAATTTATTAATTTGTTTATGGACAACTTCAATCATCCCGCAGTCCATAATACCATAGATACAGTAATATTGCCAATAATAATATTGCCTTCCATAAATATTAGCATAACTACACACCGTAAAGAAGGTTATATTTTATAGAATATCCAATGTACAGTATGTGTACATACAGAAATACAAATAACACCCAGGACTAGGTTTTTGGTAGGCACAATAAAATGATAGCACAGATACATTTTTTATTTCAGTAAGACATCCATTTCATTTACAAAGTGATTGCTGATAGCTTTACAGCTTAATTATTTAGCAATGTCCAGTAAAATGAATAGAACAGAAACTACACACATAGTTTACATCAACTTTCTATTGTAAAATTCCATTTATATAATATGAGGGTTCTTTTGAAGACCATTTTCTTAATAAAAAATGAAATTGCTCTGATTTATGAGTCACTAAAGAGTTGCCAACAAAATATTAACACAATACTTCAGGAAATAGATTTCTTTCATCTTAGTATGGCAACAAAAAAGCCTAGCTCAGCATTGCCAGCTATTGTAGGATAAGCTATATCCTCGAAATATTGGCAGTGCTGACTTTCCCTTTTTCCACTTATAGGAAAACCTTTGAGGAGGCAGCAGCCAGGTCCGGTTCTCAGCATTATATTTCCTTCACTACTGAAAATAAGGAAGTGCATTATGTAAGAAAACAAAAAGGATGGGTAAAAAAAAAAAAAATTAAATAATGACTGGATGGTTGTACTATGGTAAAGGTGGAATAAAAGGAGAAAACTGGAGGCACAACCAGAACTCACTGCATATCTCAGATTTATTAAAAGTGGCTACTAATAAATTGAGATCAGCAGATGTTCTGTTGCTTGAACATATTGCAGTTAAAATAAAAACCCCTTAAAAATTCTAACTTTTAAAGACATATTATAAATTAAAGCTGTATTAAAAACCCCCAAAAATATTATACATTGTAGCTTACCAATCCTTAGATGTGGTGGCTGCATTAGAGTTATGTTTTTTACTTTTTTCCCTCTGTTTTTCACCTGATGGTCTAATTGAGACCCCAGATCTCTCCAGAGAGGACCTGTCATGGCAGGTGTCATCACATCTCAGGGATGTTAGTGTGGCACATATCAGGGATTTTGTGTGCATGCCTTCTGAAAGCAATAAAGTTGAATAAAAAAAATGTAAGGGTACAATGTAAAAAAAAAAAATTAAATAATGAAAATTAAAAGATGTAAAGTCATATATAGGTCCTGCACACATATGTAAATGGTGATTGCACCACACAGGTGAGGTATCACTACGAACGTTAGAGTGAGAGCAATAATTCCAGTGCCAGACCTCCTGTGTAACACTAAATTGGTAACCTATAAAGACTTTTAAAGCTCCAACTATGGAGATTTTTAGGTACCATAGTTTGTCGCCGTTCCATGAGTGTATGCAGCTTTAAAGAGTGATATATTAGGTATTT